CAACTGAACTGTCTCCAGTGGATATGAAGTGGTATCTCTTTGTGGCTTTAATTTGCATTTCCCTGATGACTGATGATACTAAGTACGTTCGCATGTGCTGTTGGTCATTTGTATATCTTCTTTGGAGCAAGATCTATGCAAATCTTTTGTTCATTTTTATATTGGATTATTTGTCCACTTTTGTTGTTGAGTGGTTAAGAGTTCTTTACATATTCTGGATACAAGTTTCTTATCAGATATACAATAGCAAATATTTTCTCTTATTCTCTGATAGACTTTTCACCTAAACAGTCTTCTTTGAAGCAGACAAGGTTTACTTGTGGTGAAGTTCAATTTATCAATGTTTCTTTCGGTTGCTTGTGTTTTGGGTGTCATGTCTAAGAAATCATGACCTAATCCAAGGTCACAAATATTTATAGCTATGTTTTCTTCTGTGAGTTTATAGTTTTAGCACTTAAATTTAGGTCTTTGATCTACTGAGTTAATTTCTATGTATGGTGAGGTAGAAAACCAGCTTCATTTTTTTTTGCACGTGCATACCCAGCAGGATTTGTTGAAAAGACTCTTCTTAGCACTTTTTTTTCCCAAAAATCAATTGACCATAACTGTATAGATTTCTGGATTCTGAAACTATTCTATTAATCCACATGTCTATCCCTAAGCCAGGACCACACAGTCTTGTTAGTATAGCTTTGTAGTCTGTTTTGAAGTCAAGAAACCTCAAATTTGTTCTTTCTTTTCAAGGTTATTTTGGCTATTCTGGATCCTTTGCATTTTCATACCAATTTTGGGATTGGCTTATCAGTTTCTGAAGAAAATCAGGTGGGTTTTTAATAGGGATGGTGTTTAATCTGCAGATCCATTTGGGGAGTACTGTCATTGTAATAAGTCCTCTGAGTCCATTTTTTGACATTTGCCTCTCCCTCCCTCTGATGAGAAAGCCCAGGTGCTCTCTCCCTTGGTGCAGGTGGGAAGTTCAAACTCTATACAGAAACCCCACCCCAGTCCCACCTTCTACCCATCATAAAAATCCCAAATTAGTGTCCTTTCCCTGCCCTCAAGTCAAGTGCAGCCCAGCTTGGGAGGCACTGTTATAGATTTAACTGATCTGAGTTGGAAGTTTAGATAATTGGCATTTTGGACAGGAATGTGGGATTGGGGCTCTCCTTAAAGTGGTGCTGGGTCATAGGTCTTGGCCCAGGCTTATCCATGTGTGTCAAACTGAATCCTGTGTCTTTTAAAACAAATTTTATTTATGTCTTTAAAAAACTTATTTATTATTTATTACAAGCTGGGGGAGCAGCAGAGGGAGAGGGAGAAGCAGGCTCTCTGCTGAGCAGGAAGCCCTGTGTGGGGCTCATCCCAGGACCCTTGGATCATGATCTGAGCCAAAGGCAGACGCTTAACCGACTGAGCCACCCAGCTGCCCCAAATCCTGTGTCTTGATTCAATTCTAGCAGATCAGTGTCCCCTCTCCCCCACCACTGCAAGACCCTGAAACCTTGGCTAAATCCCTAAGAATTTTTTGGTAAACTGAAGGCCACTCCATCTCTGACATGGCCCAAAAAGAGTTATCATCTCTCTCAGCATCCACAACATTTAAACAAGCCTAACATCTTCTAGGACTTCTTTGGGTTCTGGAAGCTGGGCATTCTGCATTTACAAATCTTTTAAAGCTCACTTGTGTTACTTGCAAATTGCCCCACAACAAAAGGCTCTAGAATCTGTGCGAACTGCAATGCAACAGGCATTCCCAACAGTACCCCCAGAGGGTCCTTCACTACAGAGGCCTCAGCAACCCCCTCTCATGCCTCCTAGAGCCTCTGGAGCACCTAAGTTATCCGTGGGCTTTGATACAAGAAACTCCTTGGCCTCACGCTATATGCCATTAGACCTGCAATTGCTGGTTGCATACTATGAGATCCTGGAAATAGTAGCCATCCTAAGCCCTGGCCTGAGACCTCCCATACCCAGCTGTCTCTATGTTGTGGGTCATAAAAGCAACATCCCAGCAATAATTTCAGTATGGCCACCAAGGCCTTTCTGCTACATAATAGAGCTAACCCTGGACCCTCTGGCATATCCCATCTGCAGCAGGGGGTGGCCTTCCCTGTCCTCAGACCCTTGCCAGATGCCTTGGTGCTGAAGGTCACTCCTCCCTCAGACTCCTCGAAGCCACCTGCCATCAGTTGAGTAAACAGCAAAGGGAGTTCTCATGCTTTACAGATAGCACAACCACCATGACACAGACTAGAGCTCCATGGGGGAGCTGCTGTTTTTTATCCCTTAACCAGGACGTCCCCGAAGAATAGGACCCAAGGGTCAGCACAACTGGCCAAACTTCAGAGAGTCATCTTAGCACTGGGCGCCCTGGCCTACAATTGACCCATGTGTACATTTTTTGACTCTTGAGCCAGGTTGCCCCTTTTGGGGTAAAAAACTCTGGAATCTCTTGTCCCACAGACACCCAAAATATAAATTAAGATCACACATATCTCTCTACTTACTGAAGCTGCAATACAAGACCTCAAGATACTCCTCTCCTTCAGAGTTCCAGATCTTATTAACAGTGATTAAGATACTCATTGCACTTCTCGAAATACACAGTTCTGGGCCCTTGAACAGGCATTCAACAGAATTCTCACCTCCCCTACCAACCTTAAGCTACAGACCTCATAATGACTTAAACAAGTTCAATTCAATTAAATGTAACATGGCACATGTCAGCCATCAGTCAAACATCTGAAGTGAATTATAATAACAGGTCTACAGTTTTTGATGTTTGACTGCTGACAGCTTTTAAGCCTCACCTCTCCTCTTCCCATGATGCCCCACATCTGGGCGAGTAATAAGAGTCTAAATTCTTTTTCCTTCAGTACCGGGGGCTGGGGGAGGGGAAGGGGGTTGTGCAAACCACACGGTGGAATCATCACTCTGGTCCTACTCCCTTTACCACCATAAAAAACCAAGCCAGTCTTCTTTCTCTGCTCTCTCAAGCCATTTTCAGACCGGTGTGGGTGCCACCCTGATCTCCCCAGAAAGTCTCATTATATGATCAACCTTTTCGTACCCTGAGTGTGTGTGGTATTATCATCTGGACATCTGAGCCAAATTTTTCCCCACTATGTGTCCACAATGGCAATCCTGACGCTATTAAGTCTTACTCTATGTACACAGATATATTTCCATTTATTTAGGTCCTCTTTTTCTATATAATGTTCTAGATATAAAAAAAGAAAAAGAAAAAATAATAACGTTCTGTAGTTTTCAGTGTACAGATGGTCCCCGACTTACAGTGGCTTGACTTACAATTTTTTGACTTCATGGCAGTGTGAAAGCAACACATATTCAGTAGAACCTAGTTTGAGTTTTGAAGTTTGATTTTTCCTGGGTGAGTGATATGTGGTACAACACTGGGGATGTTGGGCAGTGGCAGTGAGCCACGGCTCCCAGTCAGCCATGCGATCACGAGGGAAATCACAACAGGGACAGGGCCTCCAGAGCCACAGGCCGGCTTGACGCCAGCTCTGCCCTTAACTAGCCACGTGATCCAAGTCACTGTCTAATTGTTTTATGCATTCACCTGCAAATCGGGATTCACTTTCATGGGGTTGTTAGGAGGAGTGAAGGAGACATACGGTAGAACACAGAGTAGGTGGCCAACAGGTGTCACGCCTGGGACAAGGAGGTGAGTGTCATCTAGGTAAGTTTGATTCCTGGTTGAGAAGACAGGGGCCGGCTGGAGACTGCCCCCCTACCTCCAAGCATTTCAGTGCCCCTGGGTCTGCCAGACACAGGCCCCAGACTCATGGACTGTGGCAAAGCCCCACCCCCCTACCCTCGGCCCCAGACAGGGAGCAAACATACAGAGGAATCTTCCAGTGCACTTTAATCAAAATTCCGTCATCATAAGAGTTCTTGTAGCATACAGTGTTAGGATGGGCATGTCAACTTGGTCCTACAAATGGAATTTCCACAGATTTGCACTTCAAACATGTATGAAAAATAAAATATATAATATTTAGCTTTATAAATTTCCCCACTTCATCACTCTTCTTAAAATAAGTTACTACCTCTGTCCAATAAATTAAGCAACCTGGAGTCACCGAGCAAATATCAGCCAAATGACTTCCATTTCCTGAAAAAGTTCTGGGGGAAATACTTGAGACAGTCAAACGCTTACAGGAATCAACATGAATTAAAAGTAGCACATTCCTCACAGTGGGGCGAGACATCAAAAATGGAAGGCTGCTAATGGCTGTTCTCTGTTGGGAAAAAATAAATCCCCCCTGACCATACCGAATGGTTGTAGAAGCTGCAACTGAACTTTTGGCACCGGTGGAGAAAAGAGGCTTTGCAAAGAAGCCATTCCCGGCGCTGAGTCCATCAAAGCATCCGTCTGAGGGAGAGGTGACAGAGGCGGAGGCTCAGCTGCCACAGCCCTCCTCCAGAACTCCCTTCTGTGTTCCCACTCCCAGCCCCCTCTGGAGGTCTGGCTGCCCCCTCCATCTTGGAGAAGGCAGGGCGTGGTCTGGGCAGCCTGCCCTCCTCCTCGAGCTGAAGAGTTCCTCAGAGCATAGTAAAGAACACCAAGAGAAAGGCCCTTCTGTGAGCGGCGGGGGCTGCTTTGCTGCGTGCTCAGGGGACAGCAGGGTATACTCAATACACAAGGGACACAGACACTCCAGCAGGATGGCCGCACAGCCTTTAAAGGGGACAGACAGAAGGTGCACACAGGACATCGAGGATCCAAGAGGGTGGGCAAGGCTGCAGTGCGCTAGCAATTACAGGGGCTCTGCACGGGACCTCAAGGGCCTTAATCCCCCTGCCCCCAGCAGGAAGTCAAATTTGCCCACCTGCAAGCTCAGGGCTTCTTCCCCCCTCAAAACAACACAATCTTGGTAAGGAACAAAGAATCCAGTAACAAGGGCTGCTACAGAGCCTCGGCCTTCCAAGAGTCCCTGGGAATGAGCTTCGGGGGCCCCAGCCCATTCTGGCAGGGGCTTTTACACAGTTTAGCTGGGGGAGGAGGTGGCCTTGCACTTCCGACAGGAACAGCCCAGCCCCGGCCTTCTAGACAGAGCAGGAGGCAGCTACAAGTCAAGGAGACGCTCCTCACAGGTCTCCACGGGCCACTTTGAAGCCCCTCCAAACACATCGACGTTGTTGTCCACCCAGGGTATGATGTTGCCGGGCATGTTCGTGGAGCAGTTGGCAATGTTGATAATTTCTTGTGCACGAAGGACGCGGTCCCATATGTTGAACTGGCTGAGCTCCCCCACGAATGCCTGCGTGGCATCGAACCTGCCCCCAACCGTGTCCTGGGAAGGTGCGGGGGAGCAGAACCACATCGGCGCAGGTTCAAAAGGCAGACACACCCGCTAATTCTCCTGGACCGTGAACGGCCTTCGGGAATGGATGCCAACTTGGGAGGGAGATGGGGAGACTGGGGCATTTTCCCAACTCCCTCCAACTCTGGCCACACCCCCTAACCCCTGATGCCTGCACATCCCGGAGCTCCAGGGCACGTGAAACCACCTCGAGACTAGAGTGGAAAGACATTTGCCCAAAGTCCCAAAGCTAGCACTAGATCCAGGTCTCCAGACTCCCAGCCTCTCCCAGGGAAGTGAGGGGAGGAACGGGCCGTCAGCAAACCTCAAACATAGGCTGAAACATCAACTCTTATCTGCCCAGTAGCAGACAAGCAACTTACATTTCCCCTCTCCCAGAGGGTGAGTTTCTTGAGGGCAGCTTCTGAAGTCACTTTCCCACCCCCATCTCCCTCAGGAGGCTGAGCACCCTATAGGCATGCCCTAAGTGCCCCAAAACACTGAGCCAGCAGCTCCTGGAAGATGCCATGTCAGCCCTTGGCATCCTGAATCACAGCTGTGCCTGGCAGAGGCCAAACACCTGGAGAGAACCTGAAGTCCCTTCCTGATAACATGACCCCAGGGACACTCCTGATCACCTGTGTTGGACTCCATTCTGCAATCTGACCCATCACACCAACTTGGTCGCCCACCCTCTGCCCCTCAGGCCACAAGACAGCATGGGGCGAGCCTGTCGTCAGGCCTCAGTGGCCAGGTCCGGCAGGCAGACAGCTGGCCAGGGGCCCCGGGGCCGCCTGCAAGTGTGACCCTTTGCTGCTCGGCTGGCCAGTGTGCTCCCCTCTTCCACCCCCTGCACTCACCTGTTCCTGCCCGAGGATCAGCACACCCCCTGGCTTGATGGGGTGCCAGGGGGCCAGGTTCTCCCCAGTGCCGAGTTTCTCCCCATCCTGGAAAGCTTCCCACATGCCGTCCCGTGTCGTCCAAGTGATACAGATATGGTGCCACTTGCCGTCACTGACAAACAGGGGCAGCTGTGCAACCTGTGAACAGCAACATGCAGGTGAGGGCCCCCGCAGGGTTTCCAGAAGTCTGACCTGCAGAGAGGCTGGAGGTCCTGCTGCTCCCATCATGCAGGGTCCCGGCTCGTCTCCCCTCCTCTGCACTGTGGGTGACATGGGCAACTCTGCCCCTCAGAACGCCTGGGATGGGGGGAGACACTGTGTGACACAGACAGCCAAGAGGAAAGGGGCAGGCAGCCTGGGTACAAGCCCCTGACTCCAGGGTGGCCCGGCTTTCAAGGGGACCCCAGCTGAGGGTCCAGGATGCTGTGCAGACAGAGCAGATGTGAAGTGAAGGACAAGCCCCCTCCCTGCCATGCCTGGGCCTGAATGTGTCATGCCGGAGAGCCTGAAGGGAAGTCAGGGTTCTACTGGGCCAGCTTCTTTGGAAAACAGCCAGACCAGGCATCTACACTCTAGGCAGGGGCTCAAATTCCATCACGGCACTTGGGGACATGTGTGTGTGTGTGTGTGTGTGTGTGTGTGTGTGTGGTGTGTGGTGTGTGTGTGTGCGTGTGTGTGTGTTCCTGTGCAGAAGACCAAAGGCCTACAATTATGTGGGAGTGTGTGTGTGCTGAGGGGTGCACCCAGGGACCCCCCATATGGAACCGGAGGAAGGGCATTTTGACCCACATTGTCTGCACGTAGTCCCGTGAGCACTACAGACCAGCCCAACCGGGTACCATCCTGTTGTTACTGCTGGTATCCTAGCAACCCGCTGCTTCCTCCCAAGAATTGGCTGTTTACGTGCCACCTAACCCAAGAGGAAAACAAGGTTCTGGGCCCTGCTGTGTCCAAGGCCGTTATTTAGAACAATTAATCCCTGCTCGGGGACGTGGTCACCGCCAGAAGGAGCCCAGCGGGGAGATTCCACAGCATTTGCCACTTAAACTACCCCCAGGATGGTTCAGTAACGGCAGACTAAGGGGCCAGGGCAGAGGCAGCAGGGGGCTGGAACAGTCACTCAAACGCTCAGCTCCAGCAAGGACGTGAGGACACATTTCTTTGGCTATGTTGAGTCTGACTTCAGAATGGAAGTTTAAGTGGAGTTCCTGGAGGTCCCGCAGATGCCCAGAGCAGAGTTCTTGAGAAGATCCGCTCTTGAATGTCGAAACCAGCCAGTCTATTAAAAAGGGATATTTACTCTGGAAAAAGCAAGACTGTAGGGACAGAGAACAGATCAGTGGTTGTCATGGGCTGGCGTAGGGGCAAGAGCGGACCACAAAGGGGAATAAGGAGATTTGGTGGGGGGAGGAGGGGAGAAATGAAACATTTCCATTTTCAATTGTGGTAGTCACACAATTGTCAAAACTGGTCGGACTGTTGGCTGAAAACTCTAAGTTTTACTGTAAACTGTACCTCAATAGACCACCCCCAAAAGATAGGCTGATAAATACCCTACACAGAGAGACATACACAAACCCCCCTTCCCTAATCAGTATGGCCCTGGGGAGCAGCCCTCACTCATCGGCCCAAGGGCCTGTGACCATTCAGGCTGGCCCACAGAGACCCCAGCTCTGTTCCTTCCATACCGTCTGGCTTGGAGCCTGTGCCCCTTTCTAGGCCAGACTCAGCTCGGATCTCCACCAGCCACGGCTGCCTGCCCCTGCCCCCCTATCCAGACAGCCAGCCAGAGCGGGGCTGAGTCAGTACAGAGCTGTCCCCACTGCAAGGAGGAGAGCCCTGCAGGAGAGCCCGCCAAGAAGGCCGGCTGTCAGACGCAGCTGCATCCTGACCACTGCCGCCGTGATGGGGGCAGGTGGTGTCCAAGCAGGCCTCACCTTGTCGTTGATGAGCAGCTCAATGGGGTTGTTGCCCCACTCTATCAGCACGATCTCGTTGGCCTGCCCGGGCACCGCGTAAGAAAAAGGGGTGCCGATGCCCGGCAACGCACTGGATCGCAGCCACAGGCAGATGGTGAAGGCGTACAGTTCAGGCAGTGTCTTCTTGATCTTGCCATACAGGTAGTTTGTGCGGAGGGGGAGGGACACTTTGAACGCATCGGGAGATTTGAACGCACTGTTGCCTGGGGGTGGAGAAGAGAGGCGGCGGTGTGAGAGCCTACTACTCCCTGCCAGCGTAGCCCACAGCCACGGCTCACCCGGACCCCAACTTCCCCCATGTTGGTCCTTCAAGCAACAGAGTGCCCGCTACCAGGAAGCCATGGTGCAAAGTGCTACCAGCCCAGGAGTAAACAAGAGCGGCCTTGCTCTTGAAAGCTTGAGGAAGCGGGTAGGGACAAGCTGGATTTAATTTTCTGGTTAAATTAAGCCAGAAAACCCTTCTTCAGCTCTTTTCTTGAAATCCTGGCCTCTTCAGCTCCTTCAGCAAGGGCGTGGTCAGGGCCTTCCTGGACTTGGGTTTAGAGGCAGGAAGTCCTAACAGGGACCTGGGCACTTGACAGACACTTGTCAAGCCAGTAAGCCCCTCAATTCTCACCCTACAGAATCCCTGCACCCAAGCAAAGGAGTCCACATTGGTACCTGGACATTACAGCTTAACTCAGAAGTGGCTTTTTGGACTAAATCCCTTACATGAACCACTTTGCTCATGATTTACCCTTTCCTCCTAGAGAGAAGATTGCATCTGTCGACCATTTCCTGTGGTTTGGTGCCAGAGGCAGAGAAATACAGAGGTGTCCCTCCCCGCTGAGGTTAACACCCCTAGCCAGAGCCTTGAGCCCTTGGGGCCTGCCTGGGACTGATGAGAACCCCCTGACTGTCCTCATGTAAATGGCACTTCCAAAATCTTTGAAAGCCACTGGTACTCTTAAATGGGTCTAAGTAATTTCTAATAGTTTTAAGCTCAAAATTAACAATAAAAATAAACACACAAAAGGCAAGTCCCCGTCTCGAGTTATCACAGATTCTGAAGTTTGCAGGGTCCCACCCGATTCTGTGAGCTGTCATGGCAGAAACTTCCATCTTATCTGGGGACTAGATGCTTCTGGTGAAGGAGCCTAAACACCCTTCGCTCATTCAACAAGTATTTATTAGGTATCCATGAGGGGCCAGATGGATTCGGTCACCGTGAAAAACAGGCAGGCTCTCTGGACCCAGAACCGCCGGAGCCAAACTGCCTGGGTCTCGAGTGCATGAATCAGCCCCTTCTATAGAACAGAAGCCAGAACAGATGAGCCTTTCTCCCCTGCGATCTCCCAAACTCTTTTGCTTTCATAGAAAATAACACGTGAGAGAAGCTCTTTGGGGCCATGGTTCACCCCCACCCATGGAAGACCTGCAAAGAAAAGCAATAGGGCCCAGCATCACCCTTTCAACCTGTCTGGAACAGGCAGCAGAGAAAGACTAGCCTCTGGGCTTCACAGGTACTATTTACTTGAATCTGCTGCTTGTGCAGTCTTGCCCAGTCCATCCCGAGCTCCCAGTATGCGGAGCCACTGACTACCTGGCGAGGGTTGGGAAGACTCGGTCACCCGGGGAAGCCGAGGGGGGCCAGGACGGGTACAGGCTGGGACTGAACCCGCATTAGGCTGAAGCAAAACTGAGGCTAGGAAGCCCCACCTCCCGATTCTGCGGGTTGTGCAGTTGAGGAACTGAGTCTTGGAGGCGCGAGGGGACTTACCCCAGGTCACACAGCTAATGAAGGACAGAGCAGGGAGTGGAAGTCCCTCGCTCAACTATGTGCAGCCACTAGTACTTAATCTGCAAATGGCCATGTTCTTCACAAAGGCATGATTAGCTAATAAAGAGAAATGGCTTCTATCCTTGCAGGTGGGCAGGCCCGCTGATTTAATAAGGCTCAGTGTCGGTAATATCGTTAGCTAGGTGACAACGAATAGGTTTAATTAGACCTGGGAGAGCCAAAGGGCAGAGGAGGGGCCCACACCCCGAAAGCTGGTGACCTCTATTTATATCAAACAGCTTGGAGGTTTAGAGGAAACTTCGTTAAAACCAATTAAGGCATTAAAAGGCCTGACCAATAAATCAGAGGCTGCAGGTGGCAGACAAGTGAAAATGGGGGGCAGCTGGGGCCAAAGAGAGACGGGTTCTGTCTTCTCAGTGGCAATGTTTACTTCAACTCCAAGGTGGGCTGTGCCTGGCTGGCTGGCCCAGAACCTAGAGGCCCCTGCAGACGAGCAGATCCCACGACAGAGAAAACAAGCATCCGTGGGATCAGGCAGCACGAGCATCTGCATGCAGCATTGGATGCGCATCCCTGGGCTCTGGGGAGCCTCCTGCTCAGTGCGGCTGGAGCCCACACACCACTCCGGGCTCTTGTCCTCTGGGGTCACCACCAAGTTCAACCCCAGCTCTGCAACCTGCTGGACCTGTGAATGCACTTAGCTCCCTGACTCGTCAGTCCCTCATCTATAACTAATGCCTACCTCACACAGTTGTTGCAAGGGTTACAGAAAACACAGAATGTGGAAGTCACAGCCTGGTGTCTGGCCCGGAACAGGCCCGTAACAGGCAGGAGATGGACTGAGGGCCAGAGTCCCCAAAGCCCCCTACTTTGCATATGCTTGAGGTCCATTTACTCCAGGCTCAGCAGGATGCTTTGAGGAACAGAGTGTATTTTCCACTCGTGGTCTATGTGGGGGCTGGGAGTTTATATATCCCTTTATTCTCATCACAAATAGGACAGATAGAAACTCAAAATTACCCAGAAGACAAACTGGTTGGCAAATGATCACTTTTCTCCCAGACTCACACCAGAGCTGGGTGGAGCACACAGAAGGATTCTAGAGTTCTCCTGGTGGGTCAGTACCAGGTCCTGGGGGCTCTACAAGAAGGCCAGTCAGGGACCCCTGCCCTGTGGAGTGCGGCGCTCACTAGGACATGGACACCTCCTTTCTGTGCCAGATGAGCTCTGAGGGCTTCCTGTAAAACCTAGGTATCAAGAGCGTGGGTGCTGGAATCAGGCTGGGGATGGGAGGGACAGTCACAAAGTGGCAGCTCCTGGGTTGTCAAAGCCATGTTGCTGCTGCTCACCAGCTGGTGGCCCAGGTCCCACCTCAGTCCCCTCTCCCCAAATGACACACCTCTGGCTGAAAGCTTCAGGGCATTTTTCTCATCTGTGTAATGGGTATAAGAGAAGTCCTATCTCACAGGGGTGATGGGCTCAGCACACACTAATTCAGCAGGCTTCTATTAACCTACATCCTTGTAGCAATTCAGCCACCGAGCCAAGCAAGACACAGCCACCAAGGTCTCTGGTGGAGCTCTCTTTTCGTGCTACAGCTATTCCCTTCAAGACACTAAGTGACTGTGGTGTCCCCAGGTTCCACTGTGGGTGAGGCTGGGGAAAGGGGAGGCAAGCCACCCTCACCTTGGACCTAATGCTGCCCTTCTATCCTCCTGTCCGCAAGAAAGGCTGCAGCTGCTCTGCCTTCAGGGAAGTCTCTTGAGACCTCAGGAGCTTCCTGAGGTCACCCGGCAGAGGTGAGGCAGAGAGGACATTCTTTCAGAAACTCCAGAATCCAAGTCTAACAGGTAAGTCACCCACCCCTTATGGAGAAGGATAAGGAAGGAAGAAAACAGAAAGTGATGAAAGAGACCTGTGACTTCTGGGGAGGTGCTGTAAAATGGAACAGAGACACCTCCCCTTGATCATCTGGTCCGCCCCCGCCGGCGTCACTAAAGGCATAACTGGACGTACTCCTATCAGTTCATGAAATGGAGTAACGAGAAACTGTCTTTGTCAGGCTGTGCATTTCAGAAGATTACAATCTCATCTCCACTACTGGCAAACTTAAACTTCACTCTCAGGCCACCTGGCAGTTTGGGCCTCAATCACTTAGGGCCCTCAATCCCTTCCCTTCCTGTGCCCCATGGGAGAAACTTAGCCACCACAGTGCGAGCCGAGAAGAGAAAGATACTCAGAATCCGCCAAAGGATGAGTTAAGAAGTGGCTGAAATGCCCACATGGCAGAAGGACAGGCTTAGGTGGTCTGTCCAAGCTGGTCCTGAGGGCACTGGCTTTCCTATGGATAACGCCAGGGGCCTGGGGTTGGGGCTAATTCCTGAGACAACCATCCTCAATCACGCTTATCATTTGCTCAAACAGCCACGAGCTATCTCCATGCAGGGTCAGGCACTGCAGACACCCCGGGGGGTAACTGTAAGGGATGGAAACCAGGCTGCTCCCAGCAGCAATCGGCCCCTTCTGTCTCCACTAGGTTGGCAGATGTATCAACAAGGCCGTTAAGTTGGGCAACTGTCAGGCAGAAACCCTAAACCCCTGTGCACCAGGAGAGATGCCTCAAGTTGAAAGAGCAACACTTCATTTGAGAAACACAGAAGGGAAAGTGGAGAGCTGGGGATTGGTAATGAGTGCTGTGGTTTTCTGCAGGTAGGACAGGTAGGTTCAGAGATGACCCAAGAGCAGCCTCAGAGCCGACCCCAGCAAACAGGAGCAGAGTCCGGTGCTGAGGTCACCACTCCCTCAAGGGCCCTAGTGACTGCCTGTCTGTAAGTGGATGGCTGTGGGCCAGCCCCCCTCTGCCTGCTCTGAGCCCAGCTTCCCTTACACTGCAGCCAAACACCAAGACAATGGGGAGGGGGGGGCTGAGAGGGATGTCAGCCAGAGGGCGACAGAGAAGCTAGGCAAGAACTCACCTCGCTCCAGCTCAGTCACCCTCTGCAGCAGAGCATTCAGGGCATTCTCGGTCTTCTGCCGGTGAGCCGAGGTCTCATTGTGGAGCAGGGACTTCTCATCCTCCAGCTCCGCCACTTTGCTCAGTAGCTGCCTCTCCAGCTCCCCCAGTCGCCGCTGGAGCACCTCTCGAAAGTCGCTGGGCAGCACTGCGTTGGACACGTTCACTCGGAGCTGGTGCTTTTAGATGGGGAGAGGGACACATGAGGGAGAAGTTTTAAGGCCATTTAAAAAGAAATTGTGAAATGTAGCTCTAAAAGCCCAACCACACAGGGAGAAGCTTCCAAAACGGGAGTATTAAATCGTGCCAACAGCACGAACGGGAGCACTTCACGGATGGTTTTTTCTTTTTTGTATGGAAAGGATTTCAAAGTCAAACAAGAATTACCTTGCTGCAGTATTTGAAACTTACGAATTTCATTTTCCTCTCTCAGAAAGCTATTTTCCTCCTCTTGCTAAAAAGTCAAAATTTTAATCACTATCTACCATCCTTGGGTAAAGGCCACAACACAGTGAAGATTAAAAAAAAAAAAAAAGTTAACCAAATGGTACTCAAAGCAGATGAGCTTTCATCTATAAGTGAAAACAGCCCCCAAGTCCCATGGCACAAAGGTGAATAACTATGCTTGCAGAGATGTTACTGGAAAATGAGAGACCTAAAACATGACAGTTCTGAATTCCAGGAATCTTTGCTTTGAATGCTGTTTCTAAATCCTCACTTCCTATGTCTCTTACTCCTCTACCATCATGCTGGCTCTGGAGGCAGTCTGCCACTGGCTAGCCATGAATCCTTGGCAAGCTATTTACCCCCTTTCTAAGCATTCCAAATTGTAAAATGCAGTTAAGAGGATCTGCTTCAAAGGACTGTTGCAAGGGTTAAAATGAGATAATACGCCTAGTATATATTTAGTAAACTAGAAATGTTAGCTGCTATTAATCATAATGAATCAAGGGATATACAGATGCTGGAAATACTGAATTTAGCCATCATGCCACAGGAAATCCTCAAATAATTTTTCAATAATTACCACCTGTAATTGAAACCTAGTTTTGTTAATAAGCATTTTGGTAAACGTCTTTAATAGAAACGTCCACACTTCTTAAATACGGTTCGAAAGTAAAGATGGAAGTTAAATGAGGATTTCTCTTGCCAAGTTCCAAACTGCATACACCCTCCAAGAGAGAAACGGAATAAGGTCCCTTCCCCCAGAGCAGCCTGGAAGGGCACCTTAGAACTGGCACAATTCGCGGACAGAGCGTCTTTGAAGTTAAAACCAGGTTTCCTCCGAGGCGCCAACCGGTGTGTGGCCCGGGACCCGCCCGCGCTCGCCTCCCCGCCGAGACCCTGGGGTCTCCGCCCGCTCTGGTCCAGCCCGACCTGATTTATAAAAGGAAACACGGGATGCCCGGGGCAGCTGATCGCACGCGGCAGCCGCACGTCACCCGGCACAGCCTCTGGGAGCGCGTCCGGCCCCAGGGGACTCGGACATTTACAAGAAAGAAGAGGCCGTCCCGGTCCGCTCACCCGGACCTCGGTTAGTGAATGGCCACTCGGCGGACAGTCCCGGCGCGCGGGGGGGAGTTAACCCTTTCCTTCCAGCAAGACGCGGGGTGTGGGGGGGCGGGATGCGAGCCCCGCAAGTAAGTTCGCGAGCCCGACAGAGAAGCAACCCCCCCGACCCCAAGCCCAGCTCGCTGTGTCCCGCACAGCCAGGCGGGCAGGACCACGCGCCCCACCACCACCCCGCGCCCCCCAGAACCCCCCGCGCTCGGCTACCTCGAGGCTCTCCAGGCGGTCCTTGAGGGTCTGCAGCGAGCGGCTGAGCTGCTCCACGACGTGGCCGGGGTCCCGAGGCAGATCTCCCATAGTGTCCTTGCCTGTAGCGGCCGGGCCCTGCGCCTTGCCGCCCGTCAACCCCTCGCAGCGCGCCAGCTTGCCCGTGAGCTCGCGGATGGCCTCGCGCTGCGCGCCCAGCGTCTCCTTCTGCTGCACGACGGTCTCGCGCAGCTGCAGCACCGCGGCCCGCAGCTCCTCCTCGGGGCTCAGCGCGCCGCCCTGCATGGGCATCGCGGGCAACGGGCAGCCGGCGCGCGCCGCTTCCGGGGGCAGCGCCGTGCACACGAAGCGGCTGCCGGGCGCCGGGCCGTCTTGGGCGCCGGCGGCTACGGCGAGCGCCACGCCGGCGGCCAGCAGCACCAGCATCCCGCCACCGCAGCGCTCACTCCAGCATCAGCGGGCAGGCAGGCGGGCGGGCGCCGTCGGGGCGCTCCGCGGAGGCGCCTCTGCTGCGGGCTGCAGCCGAGCGCGCCGCTCGAGGGCAGCTTGAGCGCCGGAGCTAACGGAACCGCCTGCCTCACGTAGCTCGCTGTCTTCGTCCGGTGCAGCGCTCTGGTCCGACCCGGCCCGCGCGCCCTTTCTTAAGCTGGGGGTGGGGGTGGGGGCCGGCGCGTGGGGCGCAGCGCCGCGAGCTCTGATTGGTCCGGCTGGGCTCGCGTCAGCGACGGGGCGGGGCGGGGGCGCCTTCTCTCAGCGGGCGGGCGCGTGTGTGGGCCCGAGTCGGGGGCGCTAGCGCGGGGTTGTGGGGCCCCCAGAAAAGGAGGACTGAGGTAAAAAAAGAAAAAAGAAAGAAAGAAAAAAGGCCGCCCGCATGCCCTCGCGAGCCTTAGCTGGCGTGTCCAGGCGCCCCCCAGACCCACCCGAGGACGCGGGCGTCGCGGGCTGAAGAGAAGCCGGCAGCTTCCCCGGGCCGGCTTCTGAGCTTCCGGCTCGGCGCGACGCCTCGCTCCGCGGTCACCGCCGCCCCCGTGGGGAGGGACCCCCACTTCCCATGTGAGGAAAGTGAGGAGGAGCCCCAGGAGGAACTCGAACCCAGGGCTGCCGTCGAGAGCCCCCCGCGGGCCGCGCGGGCCTCCTCGTCCGGGAAGGAGACGCACGACGGCCGCCTCCGGGCCGCCCGCCGAGTGCACGTCCACCTCCCCGGCCCCCACCGCCCCCCGCCGCCGTGGGAAGACTTCTCAGGTCCTCGGGGACCGGAAACGCGCGCCAGACGCAGACTGCGCGTAGGGGGCGCCCGCACAGCCTCGCGCGCACACTGCCTCCGCCGGGGCCACGGCGCGGGGGCCGGCGTCACGAGGCCACCCGCAGTGCTCTCCCGTGCTGGGGCCGGCGACAGCCCAGCAGGTGGTGGCCGTACTCGGCAAGACCTGGGCTCCGTGTGTCCATCGGAGTGCAGCCATCGCGATGGCACCGCGTAGTAAAGCCGAGCCCCACCCTCGTAAGCCGACTGCCCACAGGTCCAGTTTCCCAGTGTGAGGCTGCTGTCCTCACGTTCTTGGAGAGCCCAGATATGGACAGAAACCCCAAAAGGCGGGAGCAAATTTGTTTCAGAATCTTGGCTGTGGCTTGCCAACAAGTTCAGAGAGATTTTGATGCACAGCTACAGACCTAGCTGGTTACTGCACATTATAAATGGAAACTTTATTTTTTCTCTGTGTTTTTAAGAAATCCTGTGGCAAGGTCATTAATCACATTATCCATTATACCAGAAACAAATGGATTTGTCGCTTGTGCACAGAAGCTGAGGTTGATTCTGAAAACAAATTGTGTCAAAATAAATGAAATTATTATGATAATATAAAATAGACTGCAGTGATTAATCTCCAGAAACCAAATTTTGACCTGCTTTGCACTTAAAACAATAGCTTCTGTTATGTAAATACTTGTGGGGTTTTCAAGGACAATATAACTAAATTACAAGGAAAGTTCTATTCGTGAAAATCTCTTCATGGAGAAACATGAGAGACAGAAAATCTGGTCTATACAACACCTAAAGCAGAGGACAGTGGAAGTGGTTCAGGTAAGAATATTCGTTGGTAGGAAAGATACGGGGTGGGGAATGGAGGGAAGTGGGTAATGGGCTAATGCCACTGTTGGTCCGCATCACCAGGAGGTGTCAGCTTCACAAAGTAAATATGACCTTGAACAGGCTCATTCCTCCTACATCCTTACTTCAGCTCCTTGAAAACTCCAAAAGTTCCAGTGAGCCCCTATATACACAAATTGCAATGATGAAGGCAGTAAGGTTGCAAAGCATGTTATAAAATACTACATTTTAGATGATTCCGTAAGGCACCAAATCCAAACATGTCCAGAATTACCCAGATAAGGATTTCACTTTTCAACTTTCACTCATAGGTCTGATGGGGTTTTTTGTTGTTGTTGTTGTTTGTTTTTGTTTTTTCCTGAGACCTAGGTGGATCTTAATTGAATGTGAAAATAGAGTAACATAGCCTATATTGTTCCATATATCCATTCTAGACACAGCCTGATACATTTGTGTTTGCAACCACTTGAAATAGATGCTTGTTCCTTTAATAATTAAATAAAATCAAGTGTATTTCCAGAATTCTAATTTTCTCCTGAACAAAGAAAGCAGTGTATAAGGAGACATAAAAATAACAAAGCATATATCCCAAAATAATTACTCTTAAGTTTCTCAAAAGAGATGGCAATATGAGAAATGGTCAGTGAAATTGCCAAAGATGGAGAGACGGAGGCATTTAAGATGTTATTTCCTTTGGAGACAGTATAATTAGAGGGCTTAGCTCACAAGGGTATTATAGGCTATTTAGGGTTTGATTTTGTTTTTCTGGTGCAGTGGGAAAGTCTGCTGGCTTAGAAAGAGAGGGACTGAGTCCTAATGCCAACTCTGTCACTAGCTAAGTGGTTTGGGGCGAGTCATTTCTCTTTCCTGGACCTCAGTTTCCTGTGTATAACATAAGGGGGTTAGACTAGATTCTCCAAAAACCCTTCTGGCTATGCTCAAGAGCTGATAGTTTGAAAAAAGAATCACTGTTCAGTGTGATGAACATTCCGGAGCCTTGACCTGTTTGTGTTATGAACCACCTGTAGCCAATGATGAGTTTGGGAAGGTGGGGTATTTGTGTATACAGCAGGTAAACCTTCACACAAAGATATGCTGTAGCTGTGGTTGAAACCTGCTCTCGACGACATGAAAGCTTGTCCTTGGTTTACTCACAGCACAACCACATTGTCTACCTGAAGGATCCTACATATCTGACTCATGCTATCCATAAGGATGGTTATGTGAGTGGCAGAGACCAGGGCCCACAGATTTTCCTCCACTTGAAAAGTCGTGCAGATTTGCTGCAGTGAATCAGCTCCACCTAATCTCTTAGTGTAACTGATGCTGCAGCATAGTAACCACCCACTCATTCACTATGTCTCCTGGCTCCCAGGTCAGCTGAGAGCCCAGTATGGACTTCAGCCGTGTGCTGGAAATCCTGATGAGCTCATTCCGCCTCCATTTTATTGCCCCATCTGTTTGGTTCCCTTGTTCCTCTCACATGCATTTTTATCTTGGTCTTCTGGGAAATGTGCTAATTTCCACCATGGTGTCAGAGGATCCCATCTTATACTTTCTTACATTTCCTTCTCTCTTTCTCAGTGCCACTTGGGAAGTCAAGAATGGGGGTGTGAGCTCAATAACAGAATCCAAGGACAGCTTTCTGTGAACATGACTCAGTAACTGTCCTCACTGCTGAATTTCAATTGGGAGAGGAACTAAGTGTGTGATGTTTTTGGGGTGTTTTTGTTTGTTTTTCTTTTTTTCTCTTTTTTGTAGGATTCAGTGCAGATACAACAGAATTTGTAGGCTCTAGTGAATTGTAACAAATACTCTTTTATGCCTAAAATGCTAGGACCTTTTCGAGAGTGCATTTTTCACTAGACTGAACTAACTGCATAGTAGAGTAGAAAATGCTTGAGCTTTGGAGTCTTGTTTCAGCTCTTGTTTCAATCCTAGTTTTATAACTTGCCATTTGACCTTGAGAGGATAGCTTAACTTCTCTGAGCCTCATTTTTCTTATCTCTAACACCAAAGCTAAATTTACTACAAAGGATTATTGTCGGGCTTAGTGAGGTAATGTATGTGAACATGTTTGGCATATAGCAGGTGCACAATAGATGATAATTGTCCTTTTCTTCTCCTTTTCTCCACTGAATTCAGAGCTGAGTTATATAAGTTCTTTCAGAAACAAAGTTTAAATTTTTCATTTATTTTCTACAATATCCATTTGGAATTAAATGAAAGCAAGAATTCTTGAGAAAGAACAGGCCAACCTCTTTGGAGGAAAGGCAAGGGTTGAGAACTCCAGGAAAATTTACTGGTGTCTCAGAGAAAGTTATCCTATCCAAGTGTGTGTGTATGTGTGCGTGCATGTTGTGTGCATGTTAAAATAAGGCATTGTGTTTAATCGTAGGATTCAGCGAAGCTATTTCACACCTATACTAACATATCACTAGACCATGTGCCTGAACCCAACTAAAAGATTTGTAGTCTTTAACATTTCAGTGACTCTGAGTTTGTATTGCTATGGGATCCCAATAGATTCAAGGCCCCCAAATAAAGCAAATGTTCTGTCTTCAGTGCATCTGGGTTCTTCTTGAATAACATATTTCTGGTTTAATTTGGGGAGTATGTGATAGGAGACATTGAGTTTCAGACAGTGTTCCTGTACGAGTATATGATCACATGTGGCTGGAAAGCCATGATTTGGGGATTGATTGATAATGCTACCCAACAGATTTCAATGAACAAAAAAGGCTTTTGGTGGCACCCTCTGATTTCAAGCAATAGAACAAGTTGTTGGATAAACTAGGAATACTATCTTAGCTCTGTTTTTAAAAGTAAATACTAGTAGACCGGGGGTGGGAGGAGGGTGGAAGAAGGTTTGCGTGGAGAAAATACTTGAAGAATATAATCTGAATTATTCTATATTAGGAAACACTTGGAAAGTGCCTCGCTTTTACACAAGTTTCACAAGTAATGAAATTGACCTATATCCAGTTTGTAGCTCACTATCTCCGTATAGTTTAGGCACACAGATAGCTTACTTGAATCTTTGAAAGTGAGAGTCAGAAGAGATTTTATAGAATTTTGAAGACTAGGACATAGCTTAAGAGGGGTTAATAAGTCGTATGGCTACCTAACAGCGGGACCAAGCTGGAACTCAGGTTCTGTGGTTCCCAGTCAAGGGCTCTTTCCTCTGTACTGCTCCCTAACTTACTCATTAACCCTTTAAAATGCTTGACCTCTTCAAAAACAACTTTCTTAAAAATCAACAATTTGCCACACCGGATCCAATGATTATTTTTCTGTAATTCTCCTGGAACTCATTATAACATTCAACATTGTTGTCTATGGCTTTTTTTTTAATTAAAACTTTTCCATTGTTGGTTTCTATGATATTGTATTCTTCTGGCTTTCTTCCTTGCTTTCAGAGCTCTTTTTCTCCTTCCTTTCTTCCTTTCTTT